AATCCTTTTCTGCCAGTCTTCTTCGGTAATAGTAGATACTTCTTCTTTAATTAGCTCTGTTACCTTCTTATCAAATTTTGGAAATTTATTTTTACGCCTGATGATTTGTTTAAATTTTCCACAAATCAACTCAATGGCATTGAAATTATACAGCCAGCCTAAAATCCACACCAAACAGTGACTTTTTCGGGATGCAGTGGACACTCTTGGATCTCATGTTTGTTCTTCTATTGCGGTCAGAACGCCTTAGTGCAGGTACTGCAGGTAAATTTGCCTGTATTTGGGTTACAACAGGTACATCAGATGTCCACACGGTTACCTTTATTCACTTGTTTTATAAGTGGGGGAAAGTTGTGTTTGTTTTGTATGGCGTGTGTTGCGAGGTTTGATTTATAGATTATTGGGTTTATATATGCCTTTTTGTGCTCGTCGTACCTTTGGATCAGTTTTTTCTTGGTTTGGCCGATATAGAATTTGTTGCAGTCCGAGCATTGTATGCTGTACACACCGTTTATGTTTTTGTCTTCTTCTTTTTCATAGCTGTTTATTTTTTGTGTTATTTTCGTGTTTGGCTTGTATGTGATGTTGATGTTCAGGGGTTTGAAAATGTTTGTTAGTTTTTTGGTTTGATGACCTACGTATGTGAATGCAGTCCATCGTTGTGTTGTTTTGTCTGTTGGAGTAGTTTGATCCTTGTTCTGTATTTTTTGTTTGACTCTATTTTCTAATATCTATTGTCTTTTGGGTATATCCGTTCTTGTTCGCTAGTTGGTATATGATTTTCCTTTCCTTGTTCCGGGCTTCATTGCTAAGTAGCATCCTCAACATTCTGTATATGAATGCGTTATAGGCAGCCATTTTGTGTGATGGTGGGTGGATTGAACTTGCCGGTATGGTGGAGCTTGTTTGTGTAGCCATTAGAAATTGTGTTTTGTTGTGGTTATATATCCGATAGTTATGTCCAGGTAGTTGAGTTTCGAGTTGTTTTCTTCCTCCATGCTGAAAATCAGTTTTTGATTTATTTTGTTAATTTCCTTTGTTATTTG